TTGGGGACACAGGGGACTCCCTGCAGCTCTGTGCAGATATTGAAGGTGGTCCCAGGCACCTGAGCGCAGAGCATGCTGGGACTTGTAGTTCTCCTGCCAGCCTTCACCTGTCCCTGTGGCAATCAGTTCCGGCGGATGCCCGGTCCCGGGACCGCAGTGCAGTACTGGCCCCTCCGGTGTAGCCTCCACCTGCCCAGGAACCTTATTTTGGGGGCCCTACTGGATCCTCCTGTGTCTGGATGCTCAGCCCCGCCCGCCCGCTGTCACCCCGTTCTCCCTTCCCATTGGCCTTCCGGGCCTGTCACTCTGCGCCCGGCGAGGCGGGACAGCGACAGCTGGTGAGTCATGCCCAGAGAGCGCATGCGCCTTGGGTGCCGACGCGCGGTGCATTCTGGGAGGGCCATGGAAGTCATCGGGCTCCGACGAAATGGCGCCTGAGCTGGAGACGGAAGTGTGTCCTTAGACAGGTACAAAGATTTTTTTTTTTAAATCCTTGTTTGTTATCTCTGTCCGGGTTTAGATGTCTCAGTGTGTGCTGTAATTGTTAGGCTGTGTCTGGAATTGGTTGGAAAAGTCACATTGTTTGACTGTTTAGCATAGGAACCAATATGCGAAGGTTTAGTGTTGGGCGGGACACCGGAAGTGTTTCGTTTCCATTGTAGTGACCCATTAGGTGTCAGGTATGTCATTGGATGGACACACTGTCAACAGGACACTTCCTGTCCTGTTGACAGTGCCACGGTTTTCATTTTCCGGTCTGTGACCCCCATTGGGGGTTATTCAGTTCCAGTCCCCGGGACCCCTCGTACATGATAGGGACGGGGGGACGGTTGTCACAAAGGTTAGGTCCCTTTTGGAGAGATTTCCCATCACTTCCTGTCCTGAAGAGATCTCTCCAATATGAACAGAGACTGGAATAAAAACCTGTCAATGGCTGTAAGCACCTGGTGTCCAACATGTGGCCCTTTGGGGTGGTCCTCGGGCCCCAGCAGAGGGAGCATTGATGACAGTGATCGCTAGCGGTCTCCTGCAATGTATTTCCAGCCTTCAGTTACTCCTGTAGCATCATCAGTCTCTGACCATCTCCAGCCGTCTCTGACAGTCCTCTGTAGCACTATATACACTGAATATTATGTGTGGGCCCCCCTGGGGACATCAGGGGGCCACAGCTGAGCCCCCCTGTACCGCCTCTGCTCTAACTCCTCCCCACTCCATATAAAATTCGGCTCTGCACGCTGTGACTGGCTGACGTTTGTTTCATTCCAGGCCATTGGCGCGGCATTGGCGGAAAGTTTTCCAGGACGGCGGAATTCCCGAAGCGAAGGAATCCAGCGAGATTCTTATTGCACATGCGCTCGGAGCAAAGACGGTGAGGAGGAATCACTGGGGGAGGGGAGACTGAGGAAATACTTCCTCCTGCCTGCAGCAGACTGATCACCGGGGGAGACTGAGGAAATGCTTCCTCCTGCCTGCAGCAGACTGATCACTGGGGGGAGGGGAGACTGAGGAAATGCTTCCTCCTGCCTGCAGCAGACTGATCACCGGGGGAGGGGCGACTGAGGACATGCT